AATGACCCGTTCATCTCCCCTCAATCGCCTTCGGTTGACACACAAGTCCCTTAGGAACTTGGCATATTTTGGTACTTGTTTGATGGCGTCTAAGAGGGGGATATTTATCTCAACCTTGCGAAAAACCTCCAAAATCTCCTTTTCCTTATCCTGCTTCTTTGATTTTTCCAACCTGCTAGGAAAAGGAGGCGGGTTAGTTTTAACTGTAATTATTGGGTCAGGAAGTACCTTTGGATCTGCACCATTGCTGTCCTCCCTTTCGAGCTCATTTTCGATCTTCTCTTCATCCTTGTCCTTAGGAATCACAGGTTCAGGCCCCTGAATTTCTTTCCCACTCCTTAGGTCATTGCGCTCACGTTCTTCGGATTCAACTCCGGTTGAGATGGCAGCTTCCCTTGGTTCTGGGACTCCAACGGTTCATTCTGGTGGCCAGTTGACCTATCTGATTCCTTATGTCCTGCATCTCGGAGTCCGTCTTTGCTGATTTTGCATAATAGCTGCCTCCGTCCTTTGCTGATTCTGCGCCATGGTTGTCATCATTTGTTTCAGCATCTCATCCGTAGATGAACCAGATTGAGGGGGCGGAGGTGGTCGGGGTTGGTATTGCTGCTGGTACCCTGGTGGCTTATTCGGCACAAAGTTAGACTGCCTGTTCGGCGTGAAGTTGGATTGCCTATTCCCACCATAACTGAGGTTGGGATGATCTCTCCACCCGGGGTTGTAGGTGCTTGAGTAAGGGTCGTACTGCTTCCTTGCGCGGGCGCGTGGTCAGCCATGTTCACCTGTTCCTCAGTTTCTTCCTGAATCATTGGGCACATGTCTGCAGAGTGACCTATACCAGTGCAAATCCCGCATACCCTGGCTTGTGATGCATTTCTCACAGCCTGTTGCCTAACGAACGCAGTCAACTCATTTAGCTGCTGCTGCACAGAGGGTGTCTCTATCTCATTCACCCTACGTATTGGGACATCCTCTCTGTACTGAATTGCTGTGAATTCTCTGCCATCCCCTCTATTAACTCCCGTGCTTCCTGAGGGGTTTTGTTCACCAGTGCCCCTCCACTTGCAGCATCAATGATGCTCCTGTCTCTAAAAATGAGCCCCTCATAGAAATATTGTATGATCAACTGCTCACTTATTTGGTGATGGGGCACCTGCGCAACAAGCTCTTATACCGTTCCCAATACTCGTAAAGTGACTCCCGGGATGCTGCTTGATCCCACAAATTTCTTTCCTTAGACTCGCAGCCCTGGACGCAGGAAAATATTTATCCAGAAATTTTTTCTTCAATTGGCCCCACGTGGTGATGCTACCTGGTGACAGGTAGTACACCAGTCCTTCGCAGAATCTTTCAAGGAGAAGGGGAATGCCCTCATTTTTATCTGCTCTTCTGTGATTCCCGGGGGTTTCATACTGTTGCAAACGACATCAAACTCCTGTAGATGCTTATACGGCTCTTCACCTGGTAAACCATGAAAAGAGGGTAAAAGCTGAATCAGACCAGATTTTAGTTCAAATGGAATGTTGTCATTTAAAGCGGGGAAAGTAATGCACAAAGGTTGCTGAGTTAAATCAGGAGCAGCCAACTCCCTTAATGTTTGTGCATTAGCCATGGTGAACTCCTCCTGGTCAGAGTCACTCGAAGTGTTACCAAACGAATCTGTTGGTTCAACTTCTGACTCGGGTCTTTGAGATGTAGCACTAGAGTGCTCTTCTCTGAGCTGTCTGGTTTCCTTTCTCGTTCTACGCGCGGTCTTCTCTACCTCAGGATCAAAAACCAAATCACCTGTGCGACAAGATCGAGGCATACACTAGAAAAAAAACCAGAAAATTAGGACAAAATTGAATTTAAAAAAAACAAATAATAACGCCAGTCCCCGGCAACGGCGCCAAAAATTGACAGGTCGTCAGCCTGTGCAATAATAGTAATAAATATAGAACCTAACTACCACTAAAAGCAGTCAATAATTAATCCTAGGTACTGGAGCAGGGACTCTAGGTGTGCAATGGGTTACTTGATTCACCCTGTTCCCGAAGAGTTTGCTTAATCCGATATACCAGTATTAATTAATTGACAAAAATTACTGAATAGTAGACAGTGGCAAGTAGGGTCGTCTCCTCAGGGACTGGAGATATTTGTCTCTTTTTAAAGTCCAATTGATAAGGGGGGATTTTACCGGAATGAAACTAAAAATAATTAGACAATTTAATTAAAAATGAATAAATCACTAGCACAAATATAGCAGGAATTTAATCAGGAATAAATAAATTCTAGCCAAGGATGCAACTACTCAGGCACAGTCCATTTATCCGATCATTGATGCAGGAGAGGTTCACTTAATTTATTAATAGGCTAGTTATAGTCTGATGACCAATTTTTCCTTAAATTATTGATAACCAAGGTACGACCGTTGATTACCCCTAATCAGCAAATACTCCTAGGTACGACCATAGGAATTAATTTTCCAATTGCATTAATATTAGAAAAACCTAGCCCTAACCAATAACACGCTACGAGGGTTATTTAAATTAGATTGCACGTTCCCCTAATGTGTAAACACACCAGTTGCCACTAATATTAATCAATCAAACAATTACGGATTTAATTGACTAAATTGGCACGAGATTAATAAATCACATTGAACATCGGGCCCTTGACATCCAATTAATAAAATAATCCCATGAAAATACAAGCAGGCAATGTGCAAATATGAATAAATTAAGGAACGCGTGAAAACTAATTAGATCTCACAGATTTTCGGGACTGCGCCGTCGAGTTGACCCTTGACTAGATGGAAGACTTAGCCACGCCGCATAATTAAATCATCACACGAGTTAATAAATTGCGAAGGCATTGTTTTGTACTAAAAAGTAAGGAATGAAGGATGTTTTCCCCGTTGGGAATATTGTCAAACACCTGGCGTGTGTCAGAGGCCAGTCCTAGGAAAAGAAAGGAAAACTAAAAACTGAACTAAAGCAAAAGAACTAAAAGCTGGCCGTCCGTCTTCTGTACGTTAGCTCTATTTAAAGCCAAAGGAAAGATATCCAGTGGTCCCCACCAATTGGCCAAAAGCTGCCCCATTTCTTCTTAGTTCCCTTAGGCTTTGTACGTTGCTTTTTTTGTTTCCTTTTAGAACCAAAGGACCAAAGCCCTTTTCCTTTCCTCCGTGGTCCCCACTGAAGTCAAAGGCCCAAGCCTTCAAGTTCTCTAAGTCTCCGGTTGTAAACCTCTTGGTCAACAAGAATAAAGGGATGGGAGTCCAGTTCTTTTCAGCACTGTGGCCCTGGCCTGTGACTCGCTTGAAGACTCAATTTTCTCCAGACAATCCCTCATGTTTGGTAGTTTTCTGTTCTATCCCTGAAATAAAGGCCACAAACCAAATATAAGTAGATATGTGCAATTAACACAATATTTATCAGGGATGAAAGGGGAAATTAATAATAAAATTACTAACAAATTATACCCTATCACTCTGGCTGCTTCTCTGATTGATTTACACTGTGGTTAAAATTAGACAATTAGTTTGAGAACCTGAAATCTGAAAACCATAATCTAGCAATTGTTTAAGAACAATATCGAAATTGACGTAGAAACCATTACATGAATGTTGTAATCTTAATGCTCACGTAACTGCAAATTTGAGCCGGAAATGGAGGAATCTATCTCCAATTTGGTCAAAAAAAAAAAAAAGCAATCACTAATAAAGGACCAGATTGATCAATACCTTAGTTTCAAGGGACGAAAATGATAACTTTTACCTTGGTCTTGGTCTTTGTTTGGCACTAATGAAGATGCTGGGAGTGTGAGCAAGATAATTTCATCGCTTCTGTAGTTCTGCTGCACCATATCTTCTCTGAACAAGATAGCGTCTTCCAATATTTACACCAAAAAAGTTTAAAAAAAAAAGTTCCGCCCTATTGTTTGTTTGCTGTTGTTAGATGAGAAAAGTGTAGATCCTGAACTAATTTTATTCAGTTGTTAAACCAGATAGAAATCCGATATCAGAGTGAAAAGAAGATACCGGAATGGAGGTCCCCGACTTACCCATGAAGAAAAGAAAAATAATGGACATCCCCTCCAGCAGTAACACTAGTTGCTCTGATTTTGCCTTATACGACTATCTGCAATCGCATTGCATCTCCTCCAGCACTAGTGCTAGTTGCTTTGATCTCGCTTTAGATTGTCTTGCCAAGTTTCCAGGGTGTTTTGCTTTCAGGGAAGTCGAGTACCTGAAGAATAAGGTAAGATTATTGAAAACCTTTTTTCTGTATGTCAAAATGTGTAGGAGGAGGAGGAACCATGAAGCGCTTTTGGAGCATGATCAGGAGCACAAAGATAATACTATATCTTGCTTCAGAATTCAAGATGTGGTTATCAGGATGGTTCATGATCTTCAGTCTGCTTATCTTCTATACAAACATTCTGGTGAGTCAGACTTTGACATCTTAATAAGTGCGGCAACCAGATCCCGGGAAAATATCATATTTTTTCTTGAGACAGATGTCAAGAAATCATGCAGCACCATCTTCTTCGACTGTTACTCACGGGCAGATCCACGACTAGTTATGGATCTTATTGTGTCCCTTTCACAGACTCTGGAGGACCTTTTTTCCAAGGAGCCAACGGATATCATTAGACACAAGCTAATGCTCTTAAGGAATCTCATTGGCTTTTGTGACAATGCGAGGTGTTGAGTGTAAGCAATTGACAGATCCCTTGAGTCAAGTTGCAATTGTGCTGCACGCCTATTTTCTGTATGTCAGCTTGACAGATATGATAAACAAGTGGTTAATCGAATGAAATCCGAAATTTCTCAGCTGATACATGAGAAGATAAATCCTCTTGATACTCAAGTCCGAGAAGCATACATAGATGTCCTGACAGCTTCAAAGAAACAATCAAGATCAGCATGTGCTTAGCCCTTGAGGAGAATGAGTGTCCAGTTGTAGTTCAATTTGTTGAGTCTCTCCACCATTATCTTATGGATCTACCGGGATACCATGCCAGTTTTTCAGGTTCCAGTTAAGGATCATATTCTAAAACTCCATCAGGGAATAAGGTACTTGAGTACCCTTCTCAAGCAAGAGGAGAAACTAGATGATGAAATGAAGGATCTTCTTGGACTTGCAGTCCGTGATGCAGGAATTCTGATCTTCTCCCTTTCTGTCAATGAAATCAAAGAAAGCTTGCCCAGGGAAACATATCTTAGGCTGTTTCATTTGCACAAGGTTCTCAAGTATATGATGGCAGATCTTGCACACAATTATCTGGTAACATCACCATATTCATCATTTAATTATCGTAGATCCAATGAGTTGGGCTGTATGGATTTTTTCCTAGAAGATCTCCAGGAACTAGCAAGTGTGATGAGGCTGATGATTCAAATGTTGTCCGATTGGATAGAATCCAACTGGTCCACAAAGATCTCGTATTCTTAAGATCTGTCCTTGAGAATATCAAGGCAGCAGCGCTTTCAGAATGGAAAACTCCAAGCTTTCTGGAGTTATGTTATGGAGGTTGCATATAAGGCAGAGTTATTGATTGACTCGACACTTGTTGGTGATAAATGTGAAGATTCTTTGGATGCTATTGCTAGAGATATCAATCTTCTGAAGATTGAAGCCCTGGAGATCCATAATGGTCAAACCCAGAGAGTTAACAAGAATTCCATTCTCATACCGTCACAAACTTGCTGTCGCCGTACACAATGAGGATCTCGTGGGTCTTGATGACAAGGTGAAAACTATCATTGATCGACTTACGAGAGGATTAAAGCAGTTGGATGTTGTTCCCATTGTGGGTATGCCTGGGCTTGTAAGACCACATTAGCCAATAAAGTTTATACTGCTTCTTCAGTTAGGTCATATTTCCATGTTCGTGGCTGGTGTTGTGTTCTCAAACATATAGCAAGCACAGTTTTTGTTCAACTTTTGTGCAGTATTCATTCTAAGAGTCCAAACGAATATCTTAAGATGGATGAAAATGATTTGGTTCAGAAGCTAAAGCAAGTTTTGCTGAGAACTAGGTATCTCCTCATTTTGGATGACTTGTGGGATGTTGAGGCATGGAATTTGTTGGAAAACTCATTGCCGAATGACGTCAATGGAAGCAGGATTCTTTTCACCAGCAGATTCCAGGATTTGTCTTTGCAATTTAAACCTGGTAGCAAGCCTTACCATCTCTGCCAACTTACTGATGAAGAGAGTTGGGTATTGCTACAAAAAAAGCTATTTGACAAAGAAGGTTGTCCTCCAAAACTAAGTGAAGTTGGATATCAAATAGCAAAATTTTGTAGGGGCTTACCCCTCACAGTTGTCCTTGTTGCTGGAATTCTTGCTACCATTGCACAAGATAGCTGGGAAGAAGTTGCAAAAAGTCTAAGTTCTATTGTCCTTCACGATGAATATTGCATGAAGACACTTGAGTTGAGTTATAGTCATTTACCAGATTATTTGAAGTCATGCCTTCTATACTTTGCTGCATTTCAAGAAGATGAGGTTATTGATGTCCGAAGGTTGTTATGGCTTTGGATCTCTGAAGGATTCGTGCAACAGACTGAAGGAAAGAGCTTAGAGGAAGCGGCTTACAACTACTTGATGGGTTTAATTAATAGAAGTTTAGTTGTGGCTAACAAAAAAGGAGCCATGAATGGTGCCAAAACCTGCCAACTTCATGATTTGGTACACGAGTTTTGTGTGAAAAAAGCCAAAGAAGAATGTTTTCTACATATTATTCATAGTTGGAAAGACCCTTTTGGTCTTACTGGACCAAGCAACCCCCACCGAGTTTGTGTTCATGATACCAGGAAATTGAAGATTTGGGAGTTAATGCTACTTTTTCCCAATTTACGCTGTTTGCTTTTGCCTGAAAATGATATTCTTTTACCTCAAGAGGAGGATTGGGGGATTTTGTTACCTAAACTTCTTAGAGTGTTGGATTTGGGGGGTTTGATCATTGGAAAATCATTTCCGATGGAAGTAGTATTACTTGTTCACTTGAGATACCTGGTGCTCAGTGGAATACGATCCATCCCATCTGCAATAGACAACCTCTCAAGGTTGAAAATCTTATCGTACAAGTGGTGGATTTTGTTGTTAAGCTGCCGGATACCATTTGGAACATTAAGACGTTGAGTTATCTACGTACTATGTGGCCTCATGGTTTTAGTTTTCCAGATGGAAATCTTGAAGTATCCCAGATTTAGATCATTTAGAAACTTTAAGCCTTGCAATTGATCCCTCCGCCCAATGCTTGCAAAGGATACTGAAAAAGTTACCAAGCATCCGTTGGCTAAAATGTTGGAGATCATCTGGTTTACAAGCATGTGCCAGAAATAGGGACAAGATTCTTGTGTTTAACTGCTTGAAACTAGAATCACTTCATTTGGAGAATTTTCGAAACTATCGATTTGAATTTCCGTTGAATTTGAAGAAGTTGGTTCTCGAAGGGAATAGACAGCCATGGAGTGAAATTTCAACAATTGGAAAGTTGCCTCATCTTGAAGTGCTTAAATTACTCGATTACTCCTTTATTGGGGAAGAATGGGAAATGAAAGAAGGGGAGTTCCCTAGCCTCCGAGTCTTGAAATTGTCAGACTTGGACATTCGCAGATGGACCGCATCTTCTGGTAATTTTTCTCATCTTGAGAAATTGGTTGTGGACAATTGTGATGAGCTGGAAGAGGTCCCTTCTTGTTTAGGGGAATGTCCGACTCTTGAAACGATTGAGGTGACAGATTGTCCTGAGTCTGTTGTAAACTCTGTAAACCAAATTCGGCAAGAGCAGCTGATATGGGAAATGCGATTCTAAAAATCGTAATTGAAAATCCCTCAGAAGAAGAGTCGAATTCGCAAGAAGCAGAGGAGATTTCCTCAGAAACAGAGTCCTCTTCCACTCTTGACAATGATGAACCATTCATGTCCCATTTTGATTCGGGTGAGAGTGAATAATGTAAAGTGGGATTCGGCTTATCAGGTCAGATAAAAGTATATTTGCAGATGTTGAATCAGTTCAATTATATAATGATTCCTGTTTCTCTTCACAATTTACAATGGCGAACCATTCATGTCTCTTTTCTCATCTGTTTATATGTTGAATCAGTTAAATGATATTATTAATTCATGTTTGTTGAAGCAATTTCTGGTCGCTCCCGAATTCTTTTCTTTCTTTCTTTTTTTCGGTGGACCTTATGCTGGTATATAACTTTCTTATTTCATGCATTAACCAAACCAACATTAGCTAGCATAATCTGTTTCTAAAATCTTCTGCTTGTTCTTTTCTGGTTCAGTATTGAATAATGTTTATATAAGGATCTTTAGTCCCAATTTGTGAAATCTTCTTCCATGCTCCTACATATTGATATGATATTCAAAACCAGGAGAGAACAAGCGCGCGCGCATATATATATATATATATATGTGCTACCTATGTATGATTGTGCTCTCAATTTGTGTATATAAGTATGAGTAATACAGAAAATGTTAATTTGCTTCTATTTTCCTCAATTTATTGATATGTTGAAACATACAATAATAGTTTGGCAACAAATATTTACTGTAAAATTTTGGCAACAAAAATTTTGTGTAATATGATGCGCATGTTTCATTGACATTGAGATCTAGAAATAGTTTTAAATATCTGAAAACGTGCGTCTTTCTTCACTATATTTTGCAGAAGTACAAACATTTTTATTCTTCACTAAGCAATATTCTAAAGAAGCAATTTTTCTTAAATTTTATTTAATGTTGCTTCATGTTTTATTTCCATTTTAAGTGGTGAATTGCTCGAAGTAATCAAAATGACAAATCAGAGAAACTAGATGACTTTTATTTTTTGGTGGGTGATCTGTATTTCTCTTCATTCAACTGACGTTGTACTGCAATTATTCCTTCTTTCAGAGCAGATTTCTTTGGAAGGAGAGTCTATTTCTTCTCATCACATTAGAAAATGGTGAAGACTGACTGAGGTCCCTTCTTGTTTAGGGGAATATCGTGAGCCTGTTTTAAGTTCTCATCACATTTTAAGTGGTGAATTTCTCAGAAGAAGAGTCAGTTCACTCAGAAGCAGGGTTTCTCCTAACTTCTTATGACGGTGAAGCATTCATGTCTCTTCTTGATCTGCATATGTTTCTTGAAGCAGTATCAGGGCCATTTCAACTCTTTTGTTTGAACCTGCTGCAGATATATAAATTGTGATTTGTGATTGGGGTGGCAAGAACAGTCGTGGATTAAACAATCCAATAATCTATTTCTATGATCTGCTGCAGATATATAATCTGTTTCTGTGATCTGCTGCAGATTTATAATCTGTTTCTATGATGCTCTTAGGTTCTTTTCTCGTTCGAGGTTCAATTTGTTTGAATTTCGTCATCCTAATTTGTTGAATCTTCTTTGATGCAGCTAAGATTGATGTGATGCTTAAAAGTTCAAACCAGCAGAGTAATACATATAATTGTAACTTGCTTCCGTTTTTCCTCAATAAAGAACCGTACGCTCAATTTATTGGTATGTTAAAACATACAACAACCGTTTTGCAACAAATATCAACGGAGACACCGAAAAAAGAAATCATACACAGATTGTTAATTTTCAATAGAGAAATGGCATAGAAACAAAATTGAAAAATTCGCTTCAATTCTTCTCTTATATATGGGACCCATATGAGATCTAGATACAGCTTCGTACATCAAGCCAAAACAGGAAAATCTGAAAATATGCAGGAATATGTTATCTTTATATGTGCCTTTCTTCTTTAAATGTTTTCATGTACAAACGTTTTCATTCTTCAACATAGCAATATTTTCAGAAGTATAAAAGAAAGTAATTTTTCTTATATTTTTTCTTTTTTGTTTCATCTTTTAAGTGATTAATTGTTCGAACGGATCAAAATGGCAGATCAAAGAAATTAATTAGATGACATTTTTGTGGAGCCATCTATATGCTTCTTCATTTGACTGGTGTAACGACAATTGTTACTTTCTCTTGTGTTAACAATGGTAGCTTTAAAGAATTACAACAACAAAGTGGCAATTTTATCATAACACTCATTTTTTTTACACAGTTAAGATTTTCAAGGTTAACTAGCCTTCACTAGGGGTAAAGTATATATTTTTAAGATTGAGAATGGGAAAGTGTGATTACCACTAAAGTATATATATAAATTTCATCCGCTACCATGTGTGAAGATGGAGTAGAAGACCAACCATAAATTGGCTTTTTTTTCTACTTTTTTTTTTAGTATAACTAAGACGGCTTGAACCTAGGATCTCTCACTTATACTTTCTTTCTCTTGAACCACTCAACTCATTCTTGCCCTTTATATGTTGGGGTCAAATGTTGTGGTCACTGGAATTGAATTTTTTTTTTTTTTTATGGAGATACAAACTCGAGATGGTTTACAATTGTATTTGTTTAGAAAGTTGTGGCAATCTACAAAAACTAATAGTTTAGTACATTGTTATTTGAGTCAAGTCGAGTCGAGTGTTGAAGAGTTGAGTTTGAGTCTTGAGTTGTGGATTTGAGGAAAAGCCTCTAAATTGTTATTTGTGAGTTGTTGTAAACGAAAGGCTATGATTTGATATTGTTATTGCTGAATTTTGAGTTAATAAAATTATCGAGTTGTCGGTGTTGATTCTCTTCCTCTTCCCATGTATATTTATACGTGTTTAAAATTACGTCTGATGTGGCATGTGTTTTTTGTGCCAATATCGACAAATGGTGGTTTGCATCTTATCACCATTTTGAAAAAAAAACATCACTAGCTTTTGCACAAGGATTTTATTGGAATTTATAACGCAATAATCCATCCTTCCCGTTATACGTATACAATTTTAAAATATGCCTTCACATTTTGTAGTATTTTGTCACAATAGAAAATGGAGAAACTTAAATCAAAGTAAAAGAGCTTGATTCTCGTTTCCTCATAACTGTTTCATTTTTTTTGGCTGTGGTCAAATTACAGAATTATTGTGAAAATCATAAGCTAGAGACCATGAATAAAAATGTCCAAATGTCCACGTGATCATTTCCTCTGTTTTTGATTTAAACTGTTTTCCTTCACTCTTGATTGGGCTATTCTTTCCTTTTTGGCTTTTTTTGAATGTAGGCATTGGCTTGGATTTTTATTATTCTTTTGGGGTCTTCTTTTCTTTTTCTTATTTTTTTTTTGTTTTTGTGAAATGTTTTGTTCTTCTTTATCTTCTTTCTTGATTTTTCTTTTTTATTTGCTAATAAAAGAAAATCTACAAAAATAAAAAGCTAGAACATATGATAAAACAAATAAAACAAGTTAAAAGATAAGGTTTTTAATGACAATTTTGGTGTTTCAGATTTAGCTTACATATAAGCGGCAAAGTCATCATTCTGCAATTTTCTGTAACCTGTGTTGGGGAAATAGTTTTAAATTTTTTTTTTCATCCCAGAAAGCATTACAACGAAGAATAACAAAAGTTATATTTTAAAGTAATGTTTAATCCAAATGCACCAATTAATATTCGTGAACAAGGAATAGCAAGTAACAATATACGTATTTATTATATAAAATAAGAAAGCTATAAGTGATCTTCGAGTAAACCATAATTCACTGAACTATTAGTTTTAGTATATGAAAAAACTCATTATCGAATTAAACTCTTAAAATTGGGCTTTTACTTGTAAATTGTAATCATCATCAAAATAATGATTTATATGTGTTAAGAATATATATTATCGAAGTAACTTAAAGGTGATATGAGAATTGAGCAACGGTAAAAACAAAGTTTTTTTAAACGCGCCAAGTACCTAAAAACAAAATTTTTCCTTGGCCAGCAAGGGCATACCTAAAATTGCAATTTACTTTGGCATACGTATATTAGTAGCTCCACCCGCTCGATGGACGCGATTAGAATTTTAGTAGGCAAAAGATGTAATTGTTGTGTTTATGAGCAGTCCATTCTTTGTCAAGTCTTTACTTTGGCTATGTAAAGTTTTTTTTTTTTTTTTTGTCATTCGTCACTTATCTATTTTGGCTCATATTCTTACTCTAGTCTAATCTAGAGGGAGGCCCAACTGAGACTATAGGAGAATTGACGGGAAGTAAACCACCATCGAACAAATGGATGCACTATGCAACTAAAATCTGTGCAAGCTTAATTGGGTATGAGATGACACTTGTATTAATGTCAGCATCCCACTTTTGATCAATTACTAAACTTGTTAAAAGAGGCACCAGAAGATTATGCAATGTCAAACAGGAAGTACATGTGTGGACAACATACAGATTAATCTAGTGAAATGATATTTTAATTGGGACTAAGAAGGCCTTAGTTTAGTAACTACGTTTCAAATCTCAAGGATTAGAAGTTTTGGATTCAAATCTCCTTCTTTTTCCTTACTTGTTAAATCCTACACAGTTTCTGCTTAAAGAAATAAAATAAAGAAAAAAAAATACCTCAAATTGGTAGCATGTAGAACTTTAAAATATATAAAAAGAACATAAAGTGTCAAAGTAAAACAAAAAAATCAAAATCCAAAGTGATAAATATATTCCAAGAAGAAGCTTCACTTTTTTTTTTACATGCATAAACTTCATGAAAAATGGATTTAGTACTAATGCACAAAAAATGTAACTTAAGCCTTTCTCGATAGAAGTGCGGGTATTTTCTACTATTTCAGTTTTTGAGCTAATAAATTTATAGCCAAAAAGGACAAAAAGTTAAAAATAAAAGAAATAAAAAGGCTTTCAAATAAATAAAACCTGAAATCTTTCAACAACCGCTCAACAAATTCCCAACTTTCCTCTTCTTAAATCTTAGGCATTTTTATCTCTTCACC